AGTACCTCATTGTCTTTTTCAGTGAAAATCCTGATTATGCTGTTTCCAATGACAATCAAATCTCCACTGTTCACATCTAGTGTGTAGATTCTCAGCAGTAACATAACTTCTTCTGGAATGCCACTTGCAGGGGCATTTACAGTGTACTTATAATGAAATTTAGGACATCTTGCTGATGAATCTAGCATTGGAAATGCCTCAACGGGTGAGATCTCCAAAGTCTCAGGTGTCTTCCAAAAAGGTCCCAAAATACTACCAGTAACCTACATCAGCAAAAAGTAAAAGATCAAAACTGCAAAAAAACCATTTCTTTGGGCAACAATTCCTACAAACCCTTACTTGGGACATTAACAGCAAAACAGTTCATGATAAACATTTGAAAAACTAGTTGCTAATGGTGCCCCTGCCCCCACTTTCTTCTACTGCAATGTTGGTAGGAATCCTAAAATAATTCAGAAAAGCTGCAGTTGTTTTCAACAATACTGGAGGTGGAGTGAAGCAGGGCAGAGCTTGATATACACTCACTTGGATAATTTTTACAATGGATAAGTCACATATTTCATTTGGACATAAAAGTACAAGTGTCCCAAAAGCTTTTGACCAGGTCTGCAGATTCACTTCTGTAAATTTTAACAAGCAAATTCATGAATTTTCACACAATGAATTCATGCAATTTGTCACCAGAACAAAGTTTTAAACATACTATGGGGAATCAATTTAACTTACTACCTCCCAAGTACTAGTACTCTAAGCTGTATCAAACAGATTATTGTAATGGTGGAGTTCTCTCAGATCAATCACCTTTATGATAGTAGCATTGTCAGGTAAAAACCTCACTTCATCAATATACACATCAAATGAATCATAGTTAGTAGTCTCTTCCATCGGTGATGATGTCGCTTTGGCCTCAACCCATAATTCCACAGGATCAGCCTGGAAAGGTGTCCTGGGTGTAGAACGTCTACTGATTGGTCTGGTTAGTGATGACTGACTAGATTCAGATGCAGATGGTATTGGGCTAGGTACAGTTTCACCATGCTCTGAGGGTGATGGGACGGGTGTGGGCCTACATGTATAATACAGAAACATCACAAGAAGACATTTTTAAAAACATACAGGGCCAGTTACTTATATGAGGTCTAACCCAAACCACCATTTTATTCAAGTAGTGGGCCTCAGGGGTTCTCTATACAAGGGTTGATTTAATTTAATAAATGTATTTCCAAATTAGCTTTAAGCCCTCGACACTGTTCACAAAAATAAGTAAATAAGGTTTGAGGAATGGTTAATTTGTTCCCACTCTATCACTTATCTTCATTCAGGGATATAATACCACATATAAGGATGGCATATTGGTGAGAGTGCTTGCCTTCCACCACTGTACCTCTGGTTTGATTCCTGGACCTGGTGTCACACATGGGCTAAGTTTGTTGTTGGCTCTAATCCTTGCACTAAAGGTTTTTCTCCAGGTCCTCTGGTTTTCCACCCTCGGAAAACCAACACTTCAAATTCCAATTCAATCTGGAAACAGCAGACAAAAAGAGCCACCTTTTGGGATGTCCATTGCTAAATCCCAATTATCCATTTCATATTATATAGGGATAATAAAAAAGTTGAAATCTTAGCTTGGAGCCTGGTTTTCTTCCCTTAATTTGGAGCTTTCTGATCAAAGTTGAAAAAGCTCCACCAACTAGATATCTTTGACTAGCACTCTTGGTGAAAGCACTGATTATAACTCAGATAATTGAGTTCCCTAGCAACTGAACTCCTAAAGGAAAAGCTATGACTCAGCCATACGCACTGTCTGAGTGATCCAACATCAATTAATGCTCCTCCATTGTGCAGGTATGACAGTCCTTTCTGAACATCTACAGTAAACAACTCAGATGGTTGATCCAACAAACTCTTTCTGATGCCAATGTAGCCCTCAGCTTCTAAAATGTGTACTCTCAAGAGCTGGAGAATGACAAGACATGTGTTCTCCATCACATTATGCTTCCAGTTACTCAGGAAGCACTGATCCCACACAAGCATGACAGCATGGACTCCTAGAATGCCCACAAAACCCTACAGAAATGATCAAAAAGGTGTTCTCAAGGCGGCAGAGATCAGAGAAATATATATGTCTACTGAACAGTATTCTCCAGCTCCCTTTTGATGGCTTGAGCTATTTTTAATTTACATAGGAAGAGAACTATGCCTATGTCACAATACTCTCCTGCTTCGAAAACCATAAACACTGCACAAAATTCAAATTCAAAAAATTTTCAGCAAGTTTCAAAACCTTTGATGCATATTGCATCAATGTACTATAATGCTGTTCATCTTGAACCTTGTACATCAGTAATATAACCCTTTGATCCTTACGAGTGACGAGCATTTAATTTGTCCTGACAGTATCACCCCTGAATCAAACATTAAGGTCATGAGAGTAAAGGAAATGATCTCCAACTAAAGAAGTTCTTGATTGTTAAACAAATTCTCCTTATCAGCAACTTAGGTAATGTATATAAAACAGTATGGAGAACATGTACACTGATGTCCAGGTGTAAAGGGTTAAGACGAGACATTCTTTACATACCTCCGCTATCCATTTCCTTATAAACATAACAGGGTGGGACAGCAGCTCCTTAGCATCAGATGGCAATGATTCAGATGAAGTTCCCACTGCCTGTCTTTCGGCCAACATGGCCTTCTCTTTCTCTGTGTGAATAAAATTCACCAGGAATTCTCTTGGGTTAGAAGACAGATTCTTTAGTGTTTCACGAGTTAGGTGATTGTACAGCTCCTCATCTTCATGTTGCAGTCTTTGCATGACATGATCAGCCATGCTGAAGATTTTCAGCCTTGTTGGGAAACAATTTTTGAGCAAAAGGTGCAGGGATATTGCAAGTTTGTGAGCCACATCTTGAGAGGAATTTCCTGAAAAAAAGGTGAAAATATGCCATTAAAAATGCCATTGAAATAAGAAAATCAACCCTTGGTACAAAATGACTGAATACCAATGACAGTAATACTTGAATCCACAATGCAGATGCCCTGCTAAAACCCTGCAAACCTGGGAACCAACCAGACATGGTTGTCAAAAAGTAGCTGCTGGTCTTATTTGACTCTAACCCACATGTACATGTACATGTGCTCAATTCTATTTAGCCTCTTAAACCAAAGAAGTTTCAACATTCCATGTGAGCCTACTTTGAGATGATAACCACTGACTTGATGAAATTGCTAAGGCTATGGTGGATAACATTATTAAATTGCATTTTACTTTGATTCAGAAGAACAAGTTTAACTATACAACAAACCATTCATCACACCTGCATCTTTGTATTCATTCAGAGCACTAACAATCAGTGGATACACAAGCAAGGCATACTGAGGTTCATAACTCCTATTGTAGACATACAGCACATTCAAGGCTTCCACCGCTAGCTTTATTTGCATCTCAGTGACCAATTCACTGTGAAAACCATGTCTGTATTTGTATGCCTCAGAGACAGCATTTTCTACCACCCCTGCTATGGGGGAGTGAACTGTGCTTGACACACCCAGTTCTTTTAAACCCCAAGAAAGAGTCACTTCAAACTGAGATCTTATTTCTTCCATTTCAATTTCTAAGTCCTTGTGGGAGTTTACACTGTCTAGATTATTCCTCTGTAGGTTCATAGACCAAATCAGGTGTCTCAGGGAATTAGTCAATGGTCGTCCTTGGAGTTGTTCACAGATACAGCCCAGCTGAGAGGGGTGTTTTTTGAGGAGGGCAGCCACAGCTTTGCCAAGAGTTTCACTTTGGTGGCTGCATCCAAGGAGACTTGGCTGTTGATTGTTTGATAAACCCTGTGAAGAAAAACAAGCTGTACATTATTCAGTTGGTTTTAAACAGTACCAAATAAAAGAATTACTAAAATCACTCCAGGGATTTCAAAATGTTTTGAAGTAGGTGTCAGACTCAGCAAAAGTAAGTGACCATGAAAATTTCATGAAGGGCCAAGAGGTAATTATTTTGACCAGAGTAACCAGCAACATGTTATCTAGTAGCCAGTGGAACAACACCAGTCATTGGCTTGTTTTGAAATCCCTGCAATCTCCTTGTGTATGCTGCACAGTCTATAGATAATAAACCATACAGCTTGAGAACAGCAGAAATTAAATCAAAAAATAATTTTAAAAGTTTAAGAGGTACTCTGGGTCACTCCAAGCACCCTCTTTTTCTCTCCTCCACTGATCTAATCAGTGTTACCAGGTACCTGGAAAGGAGCTGCAAATTGCAATTGACCCAATAAATTATTCTAAATTTGGAAAAACTCTCACCTTTTCTTGATCATGAGCAACCTTCTGTTCTGTTGCTGCCAATTCCCTCTCCATTCCTCTATGCACTGTTTGCTGAGCAAACCCAACAAACTCCAACATATCCCTAGACACAGCATCTCTGCTCTCTCTCCAGTGTAACCCAAGACTTCCTGTGATCTCATGAAGTGCTGTTTTCAGCCATGCTTCTGCTTCTTCTTTGTTAGAATCTGAGAGATCTGGTTTGTCTTGGGTGGCCTATTTAGTTTAAATATCTTTCAGTTTAGATTTAGAATGCAAAGAACTGTGTGCAAAAAAAACTGATCTGAAAGAGTGAAATTCTCTGATTCAAGGAATCCTTTTCAT